GGCCGGCCTGCAGCGCCGGCTCGCAGCCCCACGGCCGCCTCTTCCCTCGCAGCAAAAGGGCGTCGGGATGAACGAGCCGCTGGTTGACGCGGAGGGCTTCCCCCGCGACGACATCGACCTCTACCAAGTGCGCACCGCTCGGCACAACATCATCTGTGAGTGGAGCCCTTTCCCGCCGGCCGTGGGGCCGGGGGAGCGTTCCCCTCCGGTGGGGATGAACCAGCAAAACTGACTCGTGTGGAGACCCACGGGCCTCTGCTCCCGCTACAGATATCCCCGTTAATAACGGCACGACCGTTTAAGCATCCCAAACACGGGCTCGTTCTGCCTGTTCGTTGCAATTCTTCGTAAATGGAAACCCGGGGTTGCTCTGAGTTTGTTTTTCAGTTGTTTTGCTCCGTGCTCGTAGCCGATGGGGACCGGCTTCGTCAGTAAAACGCTTTTGTCCACATGTTGTTGCAGCGGCATCGACATTCTGCTGCTGCTGTGGAGCCGTTTGGGATTTGTGAAATACAGTGAAGCGTTTCTGTGGTGTTTGTGGAATAAGCTTTGGGTAAAAAAAAAAAAATAGCTTGGCGTTTATTTCTTCCCAGGCTTACCCTATGCCCTGTCTTTGGGGATGGCTTTTGCTCCAGATACGTAACAGTGCGTGACTTGATGAGAAAAAAGACTTCAGCTACTCGGTGATTTCTAGGTGCTGCCCTGCTTCCTTGTGTGTTTACCGAGATTTGTAGGGTGATTTTCTCTGCATCTAACGTTTGCCGGGCTGTGTGAGCAGGGCTGGCTCCAGGACCCAGCAGGTACACCAGCAGAAGGTTATTGCTGGCCGCAGCTGAGGTCCGAGGCACCCGGGATACCGTTTTCTGCGCAGTTGCAGAGGAGACCGTGGGCTGCAAAAGACCCCTTAGATGTAACTCGCTCCTGCTCCCTGTGTGCTAATGGTGTCACCCGCAGGTTTGCAGAATGATCACAAGGCCCTGATGAAGCAGGTGGAGGAAGCTCTTCACCAGCTGCATGCCCGGGAGAAGGAGAAGCATGCCAGGGATGAGGCGGAGGCGTTGGCCGAGGCGATGAGCCAGACCCAGAGCCTGCCACAGGCTTTTGCCAAAGTGAACGCAGTGACTGCAGGATCTCCTGCAAGTATCTCGGTGCGTTGGTGGGGACTGACAGCTGCTTGTGGACCCAGAGAGAAAACACAGCAGATGGCTTTGTCTCTTGTTAATAAGTGGGAATAAGTTGGGGGATTGATTAGGGGTTCCTTCCCTGCCTTTTTTTTTTTTTGGGTTGCGCTGGGATGTCCGGTGAGTAGGCTGGTCACTGTACGGGAGTGAGATGAGTACTCTCTTCTCAGCTGTGTCATTGCACCACACAGCTCCTGCAAGGCTCACTGACCATTGTAGCCTCTTCTGTGTTTCTCTTCCCATGAAGGAGGACAGAGGAATGAGTACGTACTCCTTTCTAAGGACATGGAGAGGGTGTAATGTGGTTCAGTTGCCTGAATGGTGAGAAGAGTAGTGCCACAGCACACCTCTCCCCGTGTGGCTGGGTGCAGGGTGATGCTCCTGTGATACTACCTGTCTTTGGAGAACGCAGATGCTCATCACTCTTCTATCTCTGTCCAGGGGCTTCAGGTTGACGATGAGATTGTGGAGTTTGGTTCTGTCAATGTAAACAACTTCCAGAACCTGCAGAACATTGCCACGGTGGTGCAGCACAGCGAAGGGGTGAGCTCATTTCTGCTGTGAACTGCATTCTCTTGCCCATCTCTGTTAGCCACAGCGTTTTCTATGGAACTTAGTTCTCTGGGATCATCATTTCCATGTCAGAAACAGTGTCAGATTCAGCTTGTGCTGTTGTAGCCGTCTTTTCTCTTCCTGCTGGATAGAAGACTGCTAAGAGGTGTGCTCTTTGCTGTGAGCATCACGTTGTCTGTTCTCCCCTGGGGACTCCCTGCAGCAGCAGGCTGCGTGGCTGTGCCACCTCATGGGATGGCCAAAGAAGCTGCCACAGTCATGGAGCACTTTGTAGTGGAAGTGAGAGATCGCCTGGAGATGTCTCGCCACCAAAGGCACTCTTCTTTCCTATCTCGCTGCAGGGATGGGAATGGGTGCCGCTGAAGAAGAGCTCCCCTGGGCCTGATGTTCTGGTGTTTCAGCAGAAAAATGAAGAGGGTTGACTTGGTGATGGAAAGTTGCCATCTTTTATTCTTATATTTAATTTTTTTTCTCACTTTCAGAGACCCCTGAGTGTGACTGTGATCCGTAGCGGCAAAAAAGTGCACGTGGGGCTGACTCCGAAGCGCTGGGCCGGGAAGGGCCTCCTGGGGTAAGCTGCCATTTCACTTACCGGAATGGATGAGGATTTCCTGCAGCAGGGCCAGCTCCCTCCTTTGCTCTCGGTGTGTGTTGCTGCCTGCTCTGACAGGCTTCGCTGGCAGGTACCAGCTGAGAGGTGGAGGCTGACAGTTTTGCACACTGATATGGGGAGGCGAGTTGTGTCAAATGTGAGCACAGGGAGGAAGGTCTTGGTGGCTAGTTTGTCCAGTAGAGGAAACCACTGGAGGAGGGTTGTGGTGGGTCTGATTCATGCCATGTCGGGTCTTCTCTGCCTGTTTGAGAACTGAGACTTTAATGTTTCCTTCTACCCTCTTCTTTTTCAGCTGCAATATCATTCCCTTGCAAAGATGACCATTGCTTGGAAAACAATAAAGCTGAAGCTTGTGCCTGCTTTCTGGGCTCTGATCTGGTTTGAAAACTTCCCTATGTGTTTTTGCTGAAAGAAACGTTTCCGAGGCTGTGACCTCTAGGTGCCTGACTCGCTGAGTCTGAGGAGGTTCTGACAGAGCAGGGCCTGTCTGCAGTGCAGAATTGTGCTGGTTCATCAGAGTAGCTTGCAGAGTTGCAAGATGTGGCTTCTCATCTCTTACACCTTGTATCAGTTTGGAATGAGGCTATAGAGAGACCCAAACTTCACTTGATATAGGCTCTAAAGAGCATGAAGTGCTCTAACTTGGAGATAACAGAACATTCCTTTTTTTTTTTTTTGCCTGTAAAATTCCTCACTGAACATCTTGTAATATATGCTAAAAAGTTCCAGAGCACTTTTTGGTGTCTTTAACAGTAGATCATATTCAAGAAATATGCAAGTTTGTGCCATGTTACCGCAACTTTTGAAGTTACTAAACATCATGAAAGAATCTTTGGAATGCCTAATTATTTTAAGTTAATGAGATAAGGAATAGGGGTTATAATTCTAGTTTGATTTACTTTTAGTAGTTTGTAGTGATAAAAGTACTCCTCATCTGGCTTCTTTCTTTTTTTTAATTTTTTTTGTTTATTTGTGGTAGTTGGTTTTAGGGTGTATGAACTCTTTGAGAGTATTTTGGGGATGATTGGTTTGTTTTAAGCTTGTTTCCAGCTGAACTTCAAAACATGCATCCAAAACAATAAAACCAAGTAAAGCCTCTCTCTGTTTTTGTAGAAGTTATTATTTTGGGCAATAATTGTGGGCCGGGTTGGGTGGGTTAAATGCAGATCTGCACAGACACAACCTCACAGCCCTGACCTTCCAGAGCTGAAGCCCAGGTAAGGTGCAAGTCTTTCATTCGTGCTTCACAAACATTTCATGGCGTAAGTAACACGTCACACATAATGCCCAATTTTCTTATAATTGTTATTAGCCAGATCTGAAACAGACTGAAAAAGTGAACTAAACCCCAGACTTCTAAATCACTCAGCCAGGCTCTGTGTTAAATTCAAGGAGGTTTATTCTTCTGATACTGCAGGCATTTGCGTTTCGGCATACAGTCCCACAGAGCAGATTCTCACTGATAGTGGTAAAGCTTCAAAGCAAAGCTCCTTGGTCGGTGATTCCTGCAGGCTTCGCGGTGCTACGGAGGAAAGATTACCGGAGCAGCCCACGGCAGCCTGCCTTGGATGAGATTGTGTCTAGATAATCCCCATCAAACGCAGCCTCACCCTGGCCTTCCAAGTGATTTTAAAAGGGCTGGTTTTGCTCCAGCTCTTTTCTTGAAGAATAACTGAGAATGGGAGATGTTTTGGGACCCTCTGTCCCTCTGTTTTGGGACATCTGCACCCTGCCTCACTTTGCCAGAGCAGTTCTGTGGCTAAGCCTGCACGGCTGACCTTCGCCACGCGCTATGACCCACAAAGGCCACTGCATCTCCTAAATCCTCTGTGAAATCCCACTGGAAAGCGGTGTGACGTCCTTGTCTGTACTTACAAGGTAAGTAGCCCCGTGGGGTTCTGCAGGAGGGCTGAGTCTCCACATAGGACCACAGTGTCAAAAGACTTGAGTATAAGAATTTTTAAATGCATGTCGTATCAGGTTTGGGACCCTTGGTTTTTTGCAAAAGGGGTTTTCATATTTATAGGTGCTGCTGCAGCTGCTAAACCTGTGACTGTCTGCAAGCTGCCCCCATCTTCTGTCCCTGTGAAATGGAACGCTGGTGTAGGTGCATGGATAAATTGGGTATCGGTCGTCCGCTGAAATGTCAGACAGTCAAGGGGCTGGCCTTGGCCGTGCGTACTTGGGACACGTGCCTAGGTATCCCAGCTCTGGCTCGCTTTTACCCGAGCTGCGGGTGGATCTGGGTCTAGGTACTTCACCAGGAGAAGAAAAGCTCACAGGCGCATCCTTCCAGGCCTTCGCGTTCGTGCCTCCTGGGATGAAACGATCTAGAAAATCCCAGTTTTCTGTACTGGTCTTGAAATGGGGTTAGGGGGTCAGTCCAGCCCCGTCAGCCCGCTCTCGGGGAGCTCATTTCCCTGTCAGCGTGGAGGGTGTCTGCACGCTTCAGAGAGCTCTCGGCTCTGTGAGGCTTTTGTAGACGTGCGTCTTCTAACCCTGCGTCCTAACCGCTGTGTCCCCAGTCCCTCCAGTTGTGTGTCCTGACTCGAACAGGTTGAACGATCCCAACGAGTGTAATTAACACGGATTATGCTGCAAAACCTGCTGCGGGTAGGTAAGGTTTGAACTTCTTCCTTACACCGTGCTCAAGCCTTTGCCGTAGGACCAGAGCGGAAGAGGAGCTGCTCTTAGTAGGAATAAACAGGATTTTCATGCTGGGGAGCAGAGATGTCTCCCTGTATCATACACGATCAGGGAACAGGGCCTGGATGCTGCTGGGTGGGAAGAAAAGCACCGTGTCCGAACAAGCTTGACGTGCGGGTGCTGACGCTCTGAACAAAGCTGCCGCCTTTGCACCTCGCAGAGACGGGGCTTAAGGACCAAATCCCCCCTCCCAAAGCCGCAGAACTTCCCCGCCGTGTTCGAGAGAGCGGGTTGTGCCACACAGGAGGGGTTGAGAGCAGCCGCCGCCCCCCCCCTGCGCGCCAGCCGCTGCAGGTCGAGGGCATAATGTGAGCTGATAACACAACTCCTTTCCTCCCCCAGCGGGGTGCGAGGCTCTTGCTGGGCAGGAGGAAAAACAAATTAGATTTAGAAGTTGTTATTATCTGAGCTTAACAGCAAGGCTGAAGTCAACAGTTGGGAGCGCTTAGAGCTCGTTGTCTGCGGAGGTGAAGGCAATGGCTTGGAGGGGTCCCCGGGAGCGGGGTCCCCTGTGTGAGCGCTGGGGATGGTGGGGGACCCAGCGGCGGTTCGAGGCTGATTTGTCTCAAGGTTTCTCCTTCCTCTGCCTGTGCAGCTCCCCTCTC